CGTTCTACCGTCGTGGGATTGCTCTGTTGCCGGAGAGATGGGAAAAAGTAGCAGAAAATGGAGGAAATTACTTTGATTGAGGTATTCATTCATTTTCCCTTCGAAACAAATCGATTTTCAGGACGAAAAAACCGATAGAAATTAAGTTTAACATCTAATAGAAAACACCCGTGGAAGCCTCAAGAATATTACATTATTCTACTAATTACAATTTGACCGTGGATAATATAGAAACAATGAAATGATATACAAGGCTTATTCCACGTGCGCCAGATAACATTAGCGATTATCGATTATTTACAAAATTACATATAGTCAGAAATATAAACGTTTCGATCTGTTCATCAGATCATTATCAATATTAAAATTTAAATATAATCACACCCAATCGCGACATTATCCAATATTACAATTTCATAAAATTTGTCCTTATAAATTATAGTATCCATACGTTTTCACAATTACATAGACTCATACCACATATTTGTCTTGTCATATTATTAGTTACAATTTTAAATACTTCTATTATCATCCTCGGATGGATCACCAGACCTCGCCTCGAATTGTGTCTACCGATTGCAATGCCAAACTTTCGTCAATCCAATTACCATCCGAAAGTAATATCAGCAATTGAAACAAAAAATTTCCTGGTTCTAGTAATCAAACATAAAAAAGTTACAATAAATTGCAAAGAATCATTAATACATTCTCAACAAGTAGTTACCTTTGTACAATTGTATCGAAACACAAAGGATTTAACGATTTCGAGAATTTAAACTGAGATACATTCCGGCAAACTCGTCATGATCCACCGAAAATATACTGTCTCGATAACAAACATGTACTAAAGTATTATCGCACTATACCACTTTCATATTACCTCATTCTATTGTGGAAAGGGAACCTACTATCATTGGTTGGAATTTAAATCACAAAAAGAATCGGTGTCCGTAGTGGCAGAACATCAAATTAAATTTGAACATAATATAAATTGGGATGACATTTAAATTTTAAATAATGAACCTTATTTTTATAAAAGATTGACAGCTAAAATGATTTATATAAAGAGACAAAAGAATGGCTTAAATAAGCAAACTGACACAGAAAAATTCTCAGAATCATATGTGCCGCTATTAAAAATTCCAACCAATGATAATTCCCTTTCCACAATAGAATGAGGTAATATGAAAGTGGTATAGTGCGATAATACTTTAGTACATGTTTGTTATCGAGACAGTATATTTTCGGTGGATCATGACGAGTTTGCCGGAATGTATCTCAGTTTAAATTCTCGAAATCGTTAAATCCTTTGTGTTTCGATACAATTGTACAAAGGTAACTACTTGTTGAGAATGTATTAATGATTCTTTGCAATTTATTGTAACTTTTTTATGTTTGATTACTAGAACCAGGAAATTTTTTGTTTCAATTGCTGATATTACTTTCGGATGGTAATTGGATTGACGAAAGTTTGGCATTGCAATCGGTAGACACAATTCGAGGCGAGGTCTGGTGATCCATCCGAGGATGATAATAGAAGTATTTAAGATTGTAACTAATAATATGACAAGACAAATATGTGGTATGAGTCTGTGTAATTGTGAAAACGTATGGATACTATAATTTATAAGGACAAATTTTATGAAATTGTAATATTGGATAATGTCGCGATTGGGTGTGATTATATTTAAATTTTAATATCGATAATGATCTGATGAACAGATCGAAACGTTATATTTCTGACTATATGTAATTTTGTAAATAATCGATAATCGCTAATGCTATCTGGCGCACGTAGAATAAGCCTTGTATATCATTTCAATATTACATTATTGTTATATTACTTGTCCACTTACATATAAATTGTGTCATTTTGACACTAAGAAACGTTCATATCAATTTCACACAGAATCTTTAAAGAACATATTCATATTATGTTAAATTAACTCAAATATGTTAAAAAATTCAACACAAAATATGAGTGGACCGCTTTCTCAACACAAATACAATTTTTTTGCTGTGTAATTTATGTTCAATACTTCTGTAAATAATTATTAAAAATGTCTTATTCTGTCATTTAGATAACAAATATAATATTAGATTTGTAATTAAGATTTTGAAACGTTTGACGTACTTAACTGAGGTACAATTTATATTAAAAACGTAAATGTAAGTCATATATACCTATTTTTTACACGATTGGATTTGTTTTTGTACTTTATATTATTTATTCTATATTTATTTAACAGGAAGCAATTTTTTAATTAAATGTCATAAATATGAATATATGCAAACAATAATTAATATTAATTATAAACCATTTTTACCTTTTATTATGTGCTTTGGTTGCATCTAATCGATTTATATCTTCGTGAAGAAGAAACTTTTTGGCACCAATGGCACAAATTCTTCATATCGTAAAATAAACATTTATTAGCTTCAAATTGCCTTTATTACAAATATTATTTATTTGAAATTAAAAATATAATATACACTTACTTGCCATACATTTTAATCTCAAGATTGGAACAGTCAAAAGAAAACGTATCAAGATTATCATGTGGTATTAAAGACATTAGTGTCAACCTATTAGCATTGCTGTATTTCCGTTCATGGAATGAAAAGTAACTCACAGCACCATTGGCCACATACATTCTTTTCTGGAGTTGTACTAACCTAATTTATACTTTACTTATTAACAAGAAATGGTTTAGCTAATACAGCTTTGACTATATAACTCAATCTGTGGATTGAGAATCCAAAAGAAAATAAATTAGAGAACAAACAAAAAATTTGAAAAAAATAAGTACATTTTTATAGATACATAATTATTGTATATAAAACTGTTCTCTAAATACGTATAATAGATATAAATAATAGATAAATAGGAAGAATATATACATAAATATTTCATACGAAGGAGGAATATCAATATGATCGTTTTTTAGCTCGCTCAGGATTCTCAGAAAACAATCTTTTGTATCGTATGATTAGAATGAATGTTAAAAATAGGAATGCTAAACATTTTTTTATTAGATTCATTATTAGGAATGTTAAAAATAATCATTAAGTGAGAAAAAACTCGATCCATTATTTATAGGTAATTAGTCTAGATATACCGCTATGGTCTAAGTCCTTTTCATGATCAATAAGTGAATTATATAATAAAATATTTTTTCTCATTATACTGCTGTGCCATTATATTAATGCCAGTTTAGATTACGTTAATCATCCTTAAGATGAAGATAAATTATACTCATAATGAAAAAATTAAATTTCTATTATTCCTAACATTTGGGTGACCACAAAAAATAGGTGATCACTGTTTGTTGCCTACAGACTGAAATCTCCGAACTACCAAACTTGTGATCATTACGTTAATATTTTTTAATTTTATCTTTTTTCATTTTATTTTACAATTAGGTTTTCTATTTCCATTTTCCATCTGACAAAAATTTAGAATGTATGTACTACGACAAATCGCCAAATTTCTTTCTTTTGCAGCTACTAAACTAACTGGACTAAAAGTCTAAGATTTTGCACAACATTTGCATTCTCAAACTCATTAACATCAGTAAGTTTCGTCAAAATCCGGAACGTTTTTGAAAATAGATGGTTCACTTTCATATGGAATGCCCCATATATGCATGTACATATATAATATATGTACTATATATATAATTCACATTGAATTATTTAAGCATTTCAGCTTCGATTGTTTAGGCATTTAATTTCTAGTTCGCATTGATTATATTTTGACACATACAGTTTAAAATGAGATTCTTATTGTTTATTTTTTAATTTTAAGTTGTTTGCACGTATTAAACACTACAATCGTGACTTTTAAGCATCTTCTGATGATCAGAATTCGATAATTACAGCTTACATAATAGCTATGCTGTACTATACCTAGATTAATAATAATTAATTATGACTTTATAGATCCAGTTTTATTCCTTTCTGATAGTTGTTTTCGACATTTCTAATAATCATTCAATACCAAAACGAGTAATTTTTTGAAAATTTTGAGGGTACTAAAGCGATCTTATTGACTTTCCTTCTTAATAATAAAAAAAGTAAAAATAAAAATGAGATTCCACTTATTTTCATTTTTACTTTTTAGTAAAATAGTTTAATATTTAATTTAAGACTTACATTGGTTGGCGTCCAGTGAATTTTAAAATCAGATCTATTAATATAGCTGGTAATATATGCAATAACATTGTTAGTATATAGAATAGGACAAGATTATCGATAAATATTATATGAGGTGTCCAGACAATTCCTTCAAAAGGTACCTCATATGCAATACTTTCCCATATATTTTTACGACCTTGATATGTAATGTGTTTCTGATCTGTGCAATTTACAACTAAAGGTGTGGAATCTGTAATGCTAATAATAAATAAAGTTATATATTAATTAAGAAATTAAAAGATAAATAATAATAGACTTCGAATTTGCATAAAGTTTTGTAAGATCTGCATTAAGTTTTAGAAAAATAATTTATTTCTTATGAAATTTTTAATTATATGAAACACAATATATTATTGAAAAGTATAAGTCCGGTTCGATAACCTATCCGAAAACATAAATATATAAAAAAAGCTGTTAATAAATTATTCAAAAATTGTCAGTTTTATCTTACACAAGGAGAAGATGAAGACCGCAAAAAGGAAGGATATTTCACCAGTTTTTCGGTGCTTGATTTTGGAATTGAATTTGATATTAAATGATAGCTCACGATGAGACAGTGAAGTTTTACGTTGAGAATGCGATTGGTTTTAGAAATATGTAGAGCATTAAAGGGTTCACCAACAACTAAGAAAATATGACACTAACAATGCTTTATATCACGTATCTTTTGAATTTTTTTGAAAATGAGTTCTTTGAGTTGCTGATTACGAATCTAATGTTAGATTTAAAAAATTCAAGATGCATATAGTATAGCCGGCACAAATCTGGAACATTCATTTTCTTCTATGTAAACTGTTATATCGTGATTCTTTTGGCTAGCAAATTGTGAATTTTCTATCAGATTTACCTTATTACTTTCACTGAAGACAAGATATCAAAACATTATCCCAACTAGCAAAATGTCGTCAAAATGACGTTTTTTTGAGCCAATAATATCACTAAAGTCACGTCATAAAAGACGTCAAAAACGAAGTAATAATGACGTGCATAAGTCACAGACCGATGTGTGATGTACTTATGACGACAAAATGACGACATATCTGTGACGAGCAATATACGTATCCAGGAAACAAGCTGACGATATTTGTCGTCATTTTGATGTAAAGTAATGTCATTTCCCGGTGAGAACATGTACTTAGATTCCACGTGGATTTAACGTGGACTGGCACGTGGATTCTACGAGTGATATTCCACTCAAAAACGGTACTAATCTACGGTACAAATACACGTGGAAATCGAATCGATATTTCTAATCGATTTTTCCTACAAGATTCCTTGTGATATCCACCTAAAAATTATTTATAATTAAAACTAAAAAATTTTATTTCTATTTTAACATAAAGTTGCTTCATACAAGATGTCTATAACGATTTTGTCTGAAATTAGCTATTTAAATTGGGGTTTTGAAAAACACGTTTACCTTAGTAGGATTCGAACTCGGAATCTCTAGATTATGAGTCTCTTACGTTACATGCTGCGCCACTTCTTTTGATAAATGTGTTACTTATTGTCCATATAACTTATAACCAGCACACTATTTTTTTATTATTTTATAATATTTATACATAAGTGTATAAATATAATAAAAATGTTATAATTTCATAGATTTAATAAAATATAAATAATTTACATGACAATTAGAGAAAAGCCCTCCCCCTCCTATTATGAGATAAGCGCCTAATATGAGATAGTTTCTATGAGAGGCGTTCCATGTGGATTGCATAGAGTGAAAA